TAGAGAGGACACAGTGAACGAAGTTGTACTTTCAAAGAGTCCCAACCCGTATATCATTCCTGTCACTCTGAATGGTTGTAAATTTAAATGTCTGGTAGATACAGGTTGTAGCCGCACATTAATACGGGAAGATATTGTGAAACTTTTGAAGTTGAAGAAAAACAATGACGATAACATTATTTTACGTGGGTTTGCTGGTAGTCCTTTATTGAGTTCTGGAACAGTTTTGATTGTTGTGCATATCGGAGAAGTGACTGTTGAAATAAACGCTGTTATTGTCAATAGAAATAGTATGAGGCATGAATGTATCGTTGGTTGTGACCTGCTGAATTTGCCCAATGTAGTATTTTTTAAGATTGGAGCAAAACTTATCATTAAAGAACTAGGACCATTTCCAGTAAAATTCAGAGAGGAGGTTATATGTTTCGAAATATTTTCTGATAAAGATTTTTTGTCAAATGCTTCATTGGGAGATATTGATCAAGAATTTGAGATACAGTTTTTCGAATTGCTACAAGAATTTAATGACAGATTCGCAACTTCCTTGGAGACTTTGGGGAAAACAAGTTCAACTGAAATGGAAATCAAATGTATTACTGATCAGCCTGTCGTTTATAATCCTTATCGAATGGCACAGTCTGAAAAAGTTATTTTAAGAAAAATAATTGACGAACTACTAGAAAATGATATTATTCGGGAAAGTGATTCACCATACGCTAGCCCTATTTTGCTCGTAAAAAAGAAGACAAACGACTATCGTATGTGTGTAGATTATAGGCGTCTGAATGCAATCACAATTAAGGACAAATACCCATTACCATTAATAGATGAACAGATAGATAGGTTAGGTGGGAATACCTATTTTACAGGGTTGGACAAGACCTCAGCATTTTATCAGGTTCCGATGGCTAGTAATTCAATTGCTAAAACTGCATTTGTAACACCCGACTCACATTATGAATTTCTGCGTATGCCGTTCGGTCTAACCAATTCACCAGCTAATTTCCAGCGCCTCATGAACAATGTACTAGGAAAATTGAAGAACCATATAGCTTTTCCTTACTTAGATGACGTTATTATCCCATCGAAAACAGTAGAAGAAGGCCTAAATAATTTACGTCAGGTCTTGCAAAAGCTAAGAGAACATAACTTAACCCTAAAGTTATCAAAATGCTACTTTTTTAAGACTGAGATCAATTATTTGGGTCGAGAAATAAGCGCTCAAGGAGTGCGTCCAAGTCCATTGAAAATTGAGGCTATATCGAAAATGACACCCCCCACTACAGTGAAAGAAGTTCGTCAGTTTATAGGACTGGCAAGCTATTTCCGAAAATTTGTTGAAAACTTTGCTAGAATAGCAGAACCCATAATTAGACTTACCCGTAAAAACATACCCTGGGACTGGGGCGAAAAACAAAGGAAAGCGTTCGAAACCATTAAAGAAATGTTAACATCCAGACCACTTTTAAGAATATTTGATCCTAATCTATCTACAGAATTACATACTGACGCGAGTTCAATCGGATTTGGTGCTATTCTCATGCAAGTTGAAAACGGGAAGACCCAACCAGTAGCATACTACAGCCGTCAAACCACGATTGACCAGAAACAATATCACTCCTATGAGTTGGAGACGATGGCCGTAGTGCAAGCATTAAAACATTTTCGAGTCTATTTGCTGGGACTCAAGTTCACAGTAGTTACCGACTGTAACGCGCTAAGAACAACATTTGCGAAGAAAGAACTAATACCCAGGGTTGCCAGATGGTGGCTCTGTGTACAAGAGTACTCTTTTGAAATTAAATATAAGCCCGGTAAAAATATGCCTCATGTCGATGCGTTGAGTCGATATCATAGCATTGAATGCAATACCATTGATATCACTGAGGGTGATTGGATTTTAGCGGCTCAATTACAAGACGAGCAATTGTTACGTATCCGTGATATTTTAAAATCAGCTGATAAGAGTTTGATTCCGAGACAGTACAAGGATGAATATGAACTTAGAAATGAAAAATTATTCCGAAAATTACCCAATGGGAAAAGACTGTGGGTAGTCCCTAGAAACGCAAGGTGGCAAATATGTAATTTATGTCATGATAAGAATGGCCATACAGGTGTTGAACAAACTTTGAATAGAATAAGAACTTATTATTGGTTCTCTAAAATGCGACGCTTTGTAACAAAATACATTCGTGCCTGTTTAAATTGTGCTTATTACAAAGATACCACAAGAAAAACAGTGGGAAAACTTCATCCAATAGAAAAGATAGCAGTACCATTCCACACCGTACACATAGACCACTGTGGACCATTTGAGAAGAGTCCTAGAGGTAACACTGTCATTTTTGTCTTGGTTGATGCGTTCACAAAATTTACAATTATAGAGCCATTGAAATCCACGAAAGTGAAACATGTCATCAAAGTAATGGAGAGTATAGTTTGTCTATTCGGAGTTCCTAGCAGAATAATAAGTGATAGAGGAAGCGCATATACTTCAATTACTTTTAAACAGTTTTGTGAATCGTACTCGATAAAACATGTTCTCAATGCGGTTGCATGTCCAAGAGCAAATGGACAATGCGAGAGGTATAACAGGACAATACTGAATATGATGGCAACCACTACCATAGACGAAGATGGACGTTTATGGGACGAACATATCAAAATGATTCAATCTGCTTTAAATACTACTTTTAATAAAGGCATTGACTGTACTCCAGCTCAGGCAATATTTGGATATCAGCCCAAGTCTACAGCAGATGCCCGGTTATTGAATGACATTTCAATCAACCTGGACCGGATAGACACCTATGATTTGAGAAAGAAAATTAAAGACTATATAACTGAGGATCAGAGAAAGCAGAAAGAAAGGTTCGACAAAGCAAGGCAAGAGGCTAAAAGATATGCAGAGGGTGATTTGGTATTGATACTAATCACAAGTGAAGTTAATACGGGGAGTAGTAAAAAATTGAATCCAAAATTTAAGGGACCTTTCAAGGTTTCTAAGGTCCTCATTAATGATAGATATGAAGTAGAGGATTTGAGAGAAGGACGGCAATTTTTGAGAAAAACTATTGTTTGTCCGGATAAGATGAAGCCCTGGATAAGTATTAATCACGATAATTAGTGTGATTCAGGTGGTGGAATAGTGTCTTTTGTGTGAATATAGTACAGGTTGTTATCCTTGTCACAAAGAGTTGTAGCTCTGGGTTAAGGGTTGTAGCCCTGAGTAGAGTCGAAGCTCTATAAAAAATTTAGGGTTGTAGCCCTGAGTAGAGTCGAAGCTCTATAGAAATTTAGGGTTGTAGCCCAGAGTAGAGTCGAAGCTCTATAGAAATTTAGGGTTGTAGCCCTGAGTAGAGTTGAAGCTCTATAGAAATTTAGGGTTGTAGCGCTGAGTAGAGTTGAAGCTCTATACTCTATACAAATTTAGGGTTGAGGCCCTGAGTAGAGTGAAAGCTTTATGAAAGGTTGTAGACTTAGGTTTGCAGTTGTAGCCCAAAATAAAATGGCTCTAGCTGCTACGTGTATATAAATTTATAATAAGCGTTGGACAATGGCCCAGGTATGAGTATACCATGTTATCCGGAAATTGATGGTAATTAAGTGTTAGACTAGAAATTAATTATTAAAATTGAATTTTGATGATGTGTATGGAAATTGATTTTCGTTGTGTTAGTTCTAATACTGGCCCGATGGTAATATACTAGATATTGATAATATTGTTACCTCTTACCTCATATATAATATTAAGATAAGCGAGAGAGTAGGTATGCTCGAATCGATGTTTAGCTTTAGTATTTGTTAAATGCAGTCATTTGAAAATAAGTATCCATTATGATCTGCATGAAATTTATAGTGGTGGTAGTTTTATGTAATAATGTTGTTGCATTAGATAGTTTTGGAGATAAGTTTACTTAGGATGTAGTAATTGAAAGTGGTCGAGGACGCCCAAAATTACAGGATGGCCGAATGTAGAATTAGCCAAATATTCATACAAAATTCTCTGTATAAAACCATGTTTGATATTATAGTTTGTTATTTATCTATACCGATGTTATGTTTACGAAGGAAAAAACACATGACTAAGCGGTACGGTGACGCTATGGAATTATATTATATTAATGTGAGGAGACAGTTTGGAATTAGGCTGTGAAGGGTGCAGAATTGTATTACGGGAATTAAAAAGTATCTGGAATTCAAATTCGTGTGTTTATTTTATTTTGATAAAATTACTCGAGTCTTACACAATATTAAAAACTTTTGACAATTTCTTGAAAGTTTTGTATTTGACATTTTTGACAAAAACGTCAAATCAAAAAGTTAGGAGGGGCATTTATAAGTTTATATCACCCTGTACTTCTTTTTTGCAAAAAAACCTAACTTTGAAAATATCAACTCAGTACTCACCCTCTTGAAATTTGACTGTCGTTCACCTCAAATCCTCTACAATAGACCCTGAAAATTTCAAAAAATAACTCTTATTGGTTTTTAAGTAAATTGAGAAAGAAACACTAAAAACTTACTCTTGCAAAAAATCCCAACTTTTAAAATATCATCTCAATCCCATTGAAATTTTACTGTCGTTTATCCCAAACCCTCTGGAATACATGCCGAAAGTTTGCAGAACTTATTCTAAATATTTTCTGAGTAAATTGCGGAAGAGAAAGTAAAAACTTACTACTACAAACCATCGGTTGTAAACTTTTAAAGTATCATTTCAATCCTCTCGAAATTTATTTGACTGTTGTAAATTCTCTCAAAAAAGAAAATTGAAATATTGCCTTCTAATAAGGCAGGACTAAAAATGTAGTAAAATTTACTAAGCAAAGTATTTATTTACAGAAACAGAAGTTAAAAAAGCATAATCACACAACTGATTTTTCTTTTTGGATCCTTGATTTTATGTCTAGATAATTATTAATGGTGAGACTTTAAAAAACTCAATTTTTCCTTTAATTTTTCCTATTTCCTAATAAAACTTAAATTTGTTTCAGGTGTCCTGGCAGAACCACCAAGAGCATTTCTAGTCTCGGAATATTGCGCCAGAGGTTCCCTACAAGACGTACTTCAGCAGGACGATATCAAGCTGGACTGGTCGTTCCGCCTAAGTTTATTGACTGATCTTGTTAGGGTAAGTATTGGCCAAATAAGCAATTATTTGTTTGGGCAGTTAAGTAAATTTTGCTAAATATGTATTGAACTACATAAGCAAGAAAATCCCAATTCAAGGGTTTTGTTATACAAGTTTTCCCTTGAGTGAAGGCAGAGTAAGCTGAAACATGAAAATTTGTTAAATAAATGTTGCAGTTGTGACCCGAATCCGAATGGCGAATTATTTGTCTCTTAAAGGGCAAAAATATCTAAAATCTAACAATATTATAGAGTTACCTATATATCTTCCACCAGCGGTTCATATAAATTATGTATTTTCTATACTTTACTTAATAAATAAACATTTCCGGTTATGATTTATGGTAATTTTGATCGAGTTCCTACTCTTTTTGTTTGCAAATCCCTCCTATAATTAATTCTATTATATAGTCCCATGTCTACGACTATTAGCTTATTTCCATATTCAACGTGTAATTTGTTTATTAAATTTAATGAAATTTGTATTTCGCAGAAATGCAATTTATTTCTGCTTAGCAATATTACTATTCAACAATAAATTGTATGGCTTTCGTGCTCATTGCGTTGGAAAATACGTTATAATTTATAATAGAACTCATTGGTGAGAATATCCAATTGAAATATTTTTTTCATTCCAACAAAATTGATTGGCGATATTGGAAATATACGAACTCTAATTAAATGCTCAACTTAATGGAATTATAAATTAAATTTGCAAAAAGCAAAACGCTTGGTTGAGTAAATAAATACCTACATGTTATTTTAATCTGGTACCTAGTTGGTATCAGGTCCAATTAATGTTGTGTTGAGGTCAATAAACATCATCCATTACTATTTACACGTTTATTTAATTGTATATAATATTATTTACAAGCCATGTAATCATCATCTGTAGCGTAAAATAATTCTTTTTCTATATAATTTATCTTTTTATCATTTTACTGATGCAACATGTTTTTCTCATCTTCTTAGAAGAACTCTTCACTTCATGATTTAGACAGTTGACCTAGCGCCATTTATATAACTTAAAAAAAGGTAACTTCTATAATACAGGTTTCTGTTTCTATCCAAGAATAGCACTACAAGGAATAATCAATTATTAGATTTCACAATAATACATTTATGTATTTATTTTACCAAGAAGTTGTCAACAGGAATGAAAATATAATACTCATATTCTTGAAGCAAACAACAGAAAATTTCATCAAATAAATATAAACACTTGATGAGATCGGTGATCGCTAAGGCAATTTTTTAATGATTCTTTATCCATGATTAAAAATGCAAAGATTGTAAACGGTTTATGTTTGAATCACGAAAGTTCTAATGTTTCAAAAAAACTTTGATTTCTTTTTGAATTAACATCAGCCTCATTTTTGAACGAAATTTCCTTCAATTTACAAGTTTTCTCTTTATCGTCTTGTCAACACTATTCACGAAACCTCATTTACGTTTCACGTTCCTCTGCACAACATATTTTACATTGTCGGAACTTTCTTTATCTACCCATCGTCTCGAATATTTCCTCTCAAACGCCAAAGCACCTGCAGCGCAAAGAGAAATTTGTCTGTCATCGTGGTGCAATTTTAAAAGCAAAAATGGTTGCCTTTTTGATGTTAATAATAAATGACAACAGCGACGGCTTCATATTTGTATTTAGACGTGTGAATTTTATGCTGGAAGTTTAACCAAGAAGCATTCTTTAGAGTGTTGAAATGTGATGAATTTCGTTATCGGAATAAAAATCCCTTCATAATATGCCAAGCATGCTGAGCAAGGGCGCCACTAAAATTTGATAAGTTAATAATTCTGAACAGGGAGTAAAATTCAAGAGAAACAATTCCAATTCGCTTATTCATTATTAGAAACTGGTAAATAATTCGTAAATATTGTCAGAAACACATGTTTCACATGGGGTTTGTAGCTTTTGGGGGATTTATAGAGAGAAACTCGCTCAAGTAATATAAAAAGTAGATAGATATATATATTTGCCAAAATATTTCCCTTACATGTATTTTAACCCTACGGAATGCATGCCCCTTCTAGTTGTTTATCAAATTGAAAATAAAATTTGGAAGCTGGGACAACAATTTTTTGTTTTAATTTAAGTTTAAATGGCAAATTTTGAGATTCAAAAAAAAAAACCGTGTGGTCAAGAATGAATTATTATGGCTGAAGAGTTAGCAAATGATCCCTTCTTTCGGGTAGCTAAATTTGGCAAACGATGCACCAAAAACCCTGTTAATTATCGTGTTATAACGTTATACGTCTTCCGATTCCCGATCTCCAACCATCTGTCAATCCAGGCATCCTCCTTTAAGCCCCTGTCTCTCATTTCTTTGTCCACTCCACTTCTCCAGCTTCTTCTTGGTCTGCCGCGTTTTCTTCTTCCCCCTGGCTTCCACTCAATAATTTGCTTCGGTATTCTTGCATCTGCCATTCATTGTACTACATGTCCGAACCAAATCAGCTGTTTGTCCTTTATATTATAAAATCTGTTTATTTTTTCAAAGATAATTCCCCAAGTCAGAAATTTAGTAACTATGTTGGCAACACAAGCCTTTTCTACGTAAAAAATTTGAAAGTGTTTCGTCCACTCAATAGTTTTAAGTTATTTGTATTAAATTGTTAAGATTGTCCTTCATTGAATTATTTTTGTTTTGTTTATTCTGCCAATTATTTATTGAAGTACATACTTTAAATTTGGAGTAAACTTTTAATCCACGATTCACCCTTCAGATTATTTTCGCGTTCTTGAATATTTGAGGTCTTTATCTACTTAACGCATTGCACTCATATATACGTAGAAGAATCATACGACAGTTCGACGTATCGCGTCGGAAATTAAAAACCAGTGCATTTTTGGAAATGGTCGCACTTAGAAGCTCTCCGTACTCGACCAATTTTATTCGCACTCAACCCTACCGCAAATAACTTGTCGACCGGCCGTGATATTCGCGAACTGTGATCGATCAAGTTCAACCGCAACTCCGCAACTCGCAGCTATACCTGGATTTGGATTAGGTAAGATCTCAATTGTACCCGTAATTTTGAAACCGCAAAATACAGTCCACTTTTCTCACAGCTGATGCTCAGCTATAGACTAGATTTTGGAAGTCAATTATTATTTAAATATTGAAAGTTTACTCCGCATTCCGAAACCTGGTTCAAACACGACATTTTTGGTCCTTCGAGCCGGATGAACTTCAAATTCAGTTTTACAGTTTTTTTACAATAGTTATTTAACTTCAGTTTAGATATTTATTTTATTTAAATTCAAATATAGATTCATTTTCTTGACCTTCAAATATAAAATCACACATTCTTGGCAATTTAACTACATTTAGTAATTCATGTTGGGCGAAATATAAACAAACCACTTTTTATCAAGCTTCAGCAAGCTGGTTTATGGTTTATACCTAAATCGTTTATAAATAGTTTATACCTCGCAATTTATTACTTGGTTCCTTTTGAATACAAGGGACATTGAAATTGTTCTATCATTTTTAAGCTTATTCACTCGATTTTTCTCTGCATTTATTCAGTTAATTTTATTTAAAAAAAATGACTGATAAGCTGAGAAGGGCGAAATCATTGCGTCAAACCGAAGTCAATCGCATGACGGAACTTTTTAATATAGCCAAAAGCGCTGAAAATGATTCATCTCAACATATTCTGTTTAAAATGCAATATGAGCAAATTGACACGATACAACTTGAGTTTGGTAAACATCATAATGTTGTGATCACTTTAATCCCTGATGAGGATTTTGAAACTGACGACCAAGTAAGAGTTGGTTTTGATAATCAATTTTTTCCAACAAAAGCAATTTATTATAGTTTGTTTGCAACGACCCCTAGTGTCATAGCGCTTGGCGCATCGGCGCATGTGAACGCCATAGTTCCCAAAATAAACTTGCCTTCTTTTTCAGGAGATATTTCCAAATTTCAGTCCTATAAGGACATATTCGATTCCGTAATTCATAATAGTGTCACACTAACTGACGCAGAGAAGTTTCATTTTTTGGTTAGTACTCTAACAGATCAACCTCTCTCGTTAGTTCAGAAACTACCTCAAACCGCTGACAACTATTTAATTGCATACGAAACACTCATAAAAAGATATCTTAAACCTAGAGTTATTGCTGCCAATCACTGGGCCGCTATTGAAAACAGTCCTAAATTATTTAATGATAATTTGCGTAGTTTGCTTGACGTTTTTGCAGATAATATCGCTGCATTAAAGAACTTCAGTTTGCCGACTGACCAATGGGATTTTATCCTAGTTCAAATGCTGCTCAAGCGTATTGATGTTTCAGTAGCGACCAAGTTTGAGTTGCAGCATGACCCTACAAAGTTTCCAAAATTTTCTGTGTTAATGGGCTACTTAAATAATCATTGCGCTGCCTTAGAAAATGTGTCAGTAGCCAGAAAAGAAACGAAAATTTTTAAAACTCCTTTGATCAAGTCATCTGCCTTTTTAAATAGTAGCAATTTGCCAACCAATTCAAGTCAAGACTTATGTTGTTTATGCAAAAGTAATCATCTCGTTTACAAATGCCCCGACCTTTTGTCAAAATCTCCTCCAGAGCGTTATCAGTTGATAAAAACAAATAATCTCTGCATAAATTGTCTAAGTCGTGCTCACACCGCAAAAAAATGTCAATCTACATATTGTTGTCATAAATGTAAACAAAGACATCACACTTTGTTGCATTTTGAAAAGCAGGCAAGTAACATTGACCAACAATCACCCAATAGTACTGCTGAAGTCAGCAATGCATTTTCGTCCCAGACTAATTCGCAGCAATCAAGCGTATTGCTTTCCACTGCGGTCGTAGAGATCATGGATGGCCATGGAAATTTTCAAAAAATTAGAATTTTACTAGACTCAGGCTCTCAATCTCATTTTATTTCTCAATCCTGTGTCAAACGTCTAGCCTTGCGATCCTATAATTTAAATTTCTCCGTCCAAAGTCTAGGACAAATTGAAACTCTCAAC